GTTTCAAGGAATTCCATTTTTCGGTCAAAATTGAAAAAAATGCAAGGGGTTAGCCTTGCATTTTTCATCAAAATTGGCCAAAAATTGACTTTTCTCCAAACAATGCAGAAATTCCTTTGGAAGTCGGAGGAGCACCAATCAATACTCAAACACCCAATGTTTTGAAGATTTGGGCAAAAAGCATCGTTTTTGTGAGAAATAAATTAACATTTTTGACTGATTTTACCCAATATTTTTGTCCAAATTTTCTTTAGAAAAGCAAATCTTTCTACAAATGGAATTGGAATGTGTTCTAGGGTCCCTTAGGCATCTTTCTAGCAAGTTTCAAGGAATTCCATTTTTCGGTCAAAATTGAAAAAAATGCAAGGGGGTTAGCCTTGCATTTTTCATCAAAATTGGCCAAAAATTGACTTTTCTCCAAACAATGCAGAAATTCCTTTGGAAGACGGAGGAGCACCAATCAATACTCAAACACCCAATATTTTGAAGATTTGGGCAAAACGCATCGTTTTTGTGAGAAATAAATTAACATCTTTGACTGATTTTACCCAATATTTTTGTCCAAATTTTCTTTAGAAAAGCAAATCTTTCTACAAATGGAATTGGAATGTGTTCTAGGGTCCCTTAGGCATCTTTCTAGCAAGTTTCAAGGAATTCCATTTTTCGGTCAAAATTGAAAAAAATGCAAGGGGTTAGCCTTGCATTTTTCATCAAAATTGGGCAAAAATTGACTTTTCTCCAAACAATGCAGAAATTCCTTTGGAAGACGGAGGAGCACCAATCAATACTCAAACACCCAATATTTTGAAGATTTGGGCAAAAAGCATAGTTTTTGTGAGAAATAAATTAACATCTTTGACTGATTTTACCCCATATTTTCGTCCAAATAATCTTTAGAAAAGCAAATCTTTCTAAAAATGGAATTGGAATGTGTACTAGGGTTCCTTAGGCATCTTTCTACCAAGTTTCACGGAATTCCATTTTTCGGTCAAAATTGAAAAAAATGCAAGGGGTTAGCCTTGCATTTTTCATCAAAATTGGCCAAAAATTGACTTTTCTCCAAACAATGCAGAAATTCCTTTGGAAGTCGGAGGAGCACCAATCAATACTCAAACACCCAATGTTTTGAAGATTTGGGCAAAAAGCATCGTTTTTGTGAGAAATAAATTAACATTTTTGACTGATTTTACCCAATATTTTTGTCCAAATTTTCTTTAGAAAAGCAAATCTTTCTACAAATGGAATTGGAATGTGTTCTAGGGTCCCTTAGGCATCTTTCTAGCAAGTTTCAAGGAATTCCATTTTTCGGTCAAAATTGAAAAAAATGCAAGGGGTTAGCCTTGCATTTTTCATCAAAATTGGCCAAAAATTGACTTTTCTCCAAACAATGCAGAAATTCCTTTGGAAGTCGGAGGAGCACCAATCAATACTCAAACACCCAATGTTTTGAAGATTTGGGCAAAAAGCATCGTTTTTGTGAGAAATAAATTAACATTTTTGACTGATTTTACCCAATATTTTTGTCCAAATTTTCTTTAGAAAAGCAAATCTTTCTACAAATGGAATTGGAATGTGTTCTAGGGTCCCTTAGGCATCTTTCTAGCAAGTTTCAAGGAATTCCATTTTTCGGTCAAAATTGAAAAAAATGCAAGGGGTTAGCCTTGCATTTTTCATCAAAATTGGGCAAAAATTGACTTTTCTCCAAACAATGCAGAAATTCCTTTGGAAGACGGAGGAGCACCAATCAATACTCAAACACCCAATATTTTGAAGATTTGGGCAAAAAACATCGTTTTTGTGAGAAATAAATTAACATCTTTGACTGATTTTACCCCATATTTTCGTCCAAATAATCTTTAGAAAAGCAAATCTTTCTAAAAATGGAATTGGAATGTGTTCTAGGGTTCCTTAGGCATCTTTCTACCAAGTTTCACGGAATTTCATTTTTCGGTCAAAATTGAAAAAAATGCAAGGGGTTAGCCTTGCATTTTTCATCAAAATTGGCCAAAAATTGACTTTTCTCCAAACAATGCAGAAATTCCTTTGGAAGTCGGAGGAGCACCAATCAATACTCAAACACCCAATGTTTTGAAGATTTGGGCAAAAAGCATCGTTTTTGTGAGAAATAAATTAACATTTTTGACTGATTTTACCCAATATTTTTGTCCAAATTTTCTTTAGAAAAGCAAATCTTTCTACAAATGGAATTGGAATGTGCTCTAGGGTTCCTTAAGCATCTTTCCATCAAGTTTCACGGAATTCCATTTTTTTGACAAAATGGAGAAAAAAAACAAGGGGTTAGCCTTGCATTTTTCATCAAAATTGGCCAAAAATTGACTTTTCTCCAAACAACGCAGAAACACCTCTAGAGACGACTGGAGCATGAATCAATATTCAAACACCCACATTTTGGCAATTCTGGGCGAATATCATCCATTTTTTTTGGGGGGGGGGGAGGGGTTAGGAAATACATGAAAATACAACTGCATTTTTACCTCTTGGGTGTGTACGTCTAGGGGCGCCCGTTAATAATCGCCCCCAGAGTAACGTACCGCTAGAGGCGACGTACCGCTAGAGGCGATCGTACCGCTAGGGGCGACGTACCGCTAGAGGCGACGTCGCCCCTAGCGGTTTCGGTACCGCTAGAGGCGACGTACCGCTAGAGGCGACGTCGCCCCTAGCGGAACGGTACCGCTAGGGGGGACGTACCGCTAGGGGGGACGTACCGCTAGGGGCGACGTACCGCTAGGGGCGACGTACCGCTAGGGGCGACGTACCGCTAGAGGCGACGTACCGCTAGAGGTGACGTACCGCTAGAGGCGACGTCGCCCCTAGCGGTTTCGGTACCGCTAGAGGCGACGTACCGCTAGAGGCGACGTACCGCTAGAGGCGACGTACCGCTAGAGGCGACGTACCGCTAGAGGCGACGTACCGCTAGAGGCGACGTCGCCCCTAGCGGTTTCGGTACCGCTAGAGGCGACGTACCGCTAGAGGCGACGTCGCCCCTAGCGGAACGGTACCGCTAGGGGGGACGTACCGCTAGGGGGGACGTACCGCTAGGGGGGACGTACCGCTAGGGGCGACGTACCGCTAGGGGCGACGTACCGCTAGGGGCGACGTACCGCTAGAGGCGACGTACCGCTAGAGGCGACGTCGCCCCTAGCGGTTTCGGTACCGCTAGAGGCGACGTACCGCTAGAGGCGACGTGCCGCTAGAGGCGACGTGCCGCTAGAGGCGACGTGCCGCTAGAGGCGACGTACCGCTAGAGGCGACGTACCGCTAGAGGCGACGTCGCCCCTAGCGGTTTCGGTACCGCTAGAGGCGACGTACCGCTAGAGGCGACGTGCCGCTAGAGGCGACGTGCCGCTAGAGGCGACGTGCCGCTAGAGGCGACGTACCGCTAGAGGCGACGTGCCGCTAGAGGCGACGTGCCGCTAGAGGCGACGTGCCGCTAGAGGCGACGTACCGCCTCTAGCGGTTTCGGTACCGCTAGAGGCGACGTACCGCTGGAGGCGTCGCCCCTAGCGGTACCGTACCGCTAGGGGCGACGTCGCCTCTAGCGGTACCGAAACCGCTAGAGGCGACGTACCGCAAGAGGCGACCGTCAATAGTCGCCCCCAGTTTTAAGGAATTTCATTTTTTGGCCAAAATTAAAAAAACAAACAAGGGGTTAGCCTTACATTTTTGACCAAATTTGGCCAAAAATTGACTTTTCTTCAAGCAACGCAGAAATGCCTCTGGATATGAGTGGAGCATGAATCAATATTCAAACACCCACATTTTGGCAGATCTGGGCAAATAGCATCGGTTTTGGGGAAAGGAAATATGTTAATAAAACCTAATTTGTACTGTTTTTACCCCAAAATTTCGGCCAAATTTTCTTTTCAAAGGCACATCTATTCCCAAATCGATTTGGAATGTGTTCAGGGTTACCTTAGGCATCTTTCCTGCAAGTTTCAAGGAATTTCATTTTTTGGCCAAAATTGAAAAAAAAACCAAGGGGTAAGCCTTACACTTTTCATCAAAATTGGCCAAAAAATAATGGACTTTTCTCCAAACAATGCAGCAATTGCTTTGGAAGTCAGAGGAGCATCAATCAATACTCAAACACCCAATATTCTGGAGATTTGGGTAAAAACCATCGATTTTGTGAGAAATGAATTAACATTTCTGACTGATTTTACCCCATATTTTTGTCCAAATTTTCTTTTGGAAAGCATATCTTTCTACAAATGGAATTGGAATGTGTTCTAGGGTCCCTTAGGCCTCTTTCGAGCAAGTTTTAAGGAATTCCATTTTTGGGTCAAAATTGAAGAAAAAAAATTGCCAAAAATTCCACCAGATACAAGGGGAATATCAATCAAACAAACAACAATATTCAAACAAACACACAAGACAACAAGACAACGTTTCTGGATATTTTTTCATCAATATCACAAATAAAAAAAACCATATTGTCAACGAAGCTGGTCAAATATATCTTCCCAATAAAATACATACTTTATTTTAGTCATTTATTTCTCTATTTACCTTTAATTTCACTAGTTCCATTATTGAACATTCACATACAGATTCTGATTGCACAGTAGAAAAGCTAAACTAAACATGGTTATACTTGTTACACATTTTTGTTGAATGTGAAAAATATGAAATAAATCTTTGTACAGTGTGTGCAACTTTTTAAATTTTTAATGAAGTATAATTACAATTACATTTGTGTTTGTGAAAGAAACTTTATGAACTCACACGTTTACGTTACATGCCTAGTGGGGACATTCCTTTGTTTTTGTGTAGTCAAGAAAAACCTGTGAAAAAAACTCATTTTACTCAAACTGTGAAAACTCTTTCAACCCAATTTTTTATTATGATTCCCTTGAGTGTTTCTCTTCATTTTGCAATGAATAAACCCAACCCCAAAATGCCTCTAAACCTTTTTTCCAGAGAGGGGGAAACATTGTGTGGACGTGGGCAAGTCCACACAATGTCGCTGCTACCTGGTTTATGTGGACCTCTTTTGTTTGGAAGTCCACACAGTGAATGTAATGCTTGTACATGGGTTCAAAATCAAGGGGCTAATTCCACGAAACTGCTAAGCTGAAACTGTACCTTAACAAATCAAGCTTGGTACCAGCCACAGGCAATGGACAATGCACACACTTTTGGCTGGTAACCAGTTTTTACTAAGCAAATATGTTCTGTGCTTAATAAATTTCTGCTCCATGTAATTTAGTCCTTGGTCTCAACACAACAGATTTACTTCCATATTTTGACCACACCATCCTGTGAAGTCGTAGCCACGGCGGCGCTGCTAGGCGATATCAGAAAGACGCCCAGATCCGTGATGACGTTACGATGACCGACGGGAACCTGCTCCGTGCCTTGACGTCCTGACTCGCCGACGTTTGTCGCACCGCGGTGTTTGTCGTAGGTCTCTACAATCACCTCTGTTCCGTCAATCAATCTCCGCCTACAAAAAAGACGCAGACACAAAATAATTTTCCAAAATAGAACTTCACAGCATTTTTGGCAATCTCTCCCGTAAAAAAAACCAAAAAAACAATTATGGAGCACAAAAATTTTGGTATCAAGACAAAAAAATCAAACTATTATTCAAAATGATAACAAAATACAACAGATCTGCTTTCAAAATGATATGAAATACAAAAACATTTGTGCTTTCAAAATGATATGAAATACAAAAAAAAAAGATGTGTTTTAGAGAGAAGCATTGATTTGAACTCTCTTTGGAGTCTAGGGACCGATTTCGCTGCTGTGCTTATCTTAAGCAAACAATTTTCGCTAACTAATGCAGAAAATGTCTAAAACCGAAGGGACTACCTACTTGTACGTGACGGCTGGTTGGATAGGCGGATCGTTGACAGACCCGGCTATGATACCGGAGTGCTCAGGATTGGTCAGACTCCAATAGCGCAGTCGCTGGTCCGAGCCCGCCGTCAAGAAACTTGGGGAGTGTTCGTTGGATGGGATGCAGTACATGCCGTGAACGGCGTGGTTGGAGGTCTGAAAGTTGAGATTTCAAACAAAAACTAAAGATTAAAAAAGTTTGTTACTGCCTTATGATTAGGATATGTGTGCCTCATGATCAGAGACCCAGGGGATTGAATTTCTGCCACTGATTAAAAAAAACCGAAACCCAAATGTTGGGACCGTTGTTTTAGTGAAGTTCTGCATGTAGCACTTTCAAAATCTAGGATATGAAAGCCCAATTCTTAAGCTTTCTTTTAGTACAAGAATCATTCAAATAACTCATGTACTTTTCAAGTTACGGAGTTTTAAACACAACCGCCATTTTAAGGTTCAGTCCACAGATCACAAAAAGGTTAGTGTTCTTTCAGCAAAACGAAAACAAATCACATAGGGATGTGTGTGAATTGTTTTGGTTTTGCTGAAAGAACGCACACCTTTTTTGTGATCCGTGGACAGAACTTTAAAACGGTGGTTATGTTTAAAATGCCTTCACTTGAAAAGTATATGAGTGATTTGAATGATTCTAGTACTAAAAGAAAGCTTATGAATTGGGCTTTCATATCCTAGATTTTGAAAGTGCTACATGCAGAACTTCATTAAACAATGGTCCCGACATTTGGGTTTCATTTTTTTTTACTCACCCTGTATGTTGTGTCCTTAGGCAAACCAGTTTACCCCAATCTGCCTCTCTGCACCCAAGGGTACCAGCATTAGCTGGTGACTAACCTTTGACAAACTGGCATCTTATCCAGTGGGAATAGAAAGCTTCCCAGTAATTACATGCCACAGAAACCGGACATAAACACTGGCCTAATGCACTGTAATATTAAACTTGAGACGGAGTTTCCTTTTTTATTCAATAGAGGGCGCTGTACCTGTGTTTGGGAGAGGGGAGGCGAAGGGCTAGCCCATAGCGTGAACTGTCTGGCCCCGGTCTCCATGTCCCACATAGACACTTCATTGTTGCCTTGCACTGCGGAGATGATCCAGGATGGGTGGTTGGGGTGCAGACTAATCCGACGCACATGAGAAGCTGATAAAAAAAATATAGAATCTTCTTTTTCAAAATTTTCTTAATTTGAATCTTAACCAAATGTAAAGCTTCACCTTTTTAACTGATGCTTCTATAAATGTCTAAAAATTCTGTTTGCGTCAACTTTGGCTGGTATAACTCACCATTTCAGAAATGGACTTATGATCCCGGACTATTTATTTATTTATAAATTTATTAATTTCATTCTTATTTTATAAGAATTTTTTTCATTCTTACTGGGTAGCCCATTCGGTCACGGTGGAATCCACTGGTCTCCCATAGGGACCAGTAAAGAGAAGACAATGTGAAGAAATTACAGTTCAAGAGGTGGGAGGAAAAGCCCAGTAGAGTATTCTGAGGAAAACCCACGGAATCAGGCAGGGACTGAAAACCCAATCCACATATTGGCCCAGGCAGGATTCGAACCCGGGTCACAGCGGTGGAAGGCGAGGAAAGTACCGCTACGCCAACCTGACTCCCTCGATCTTATCGATGCCATCCGGTTGGATGTTGTAATTTGAAAAAGACAAGGGTCAATCTACCTGTGGGATGATGCAAGGTGCTGATCGGCAGCTGGAAGCGTAGATCCCAGCAGGTGTGTGCTCCTTTGCTGGTCCCCACGGCCATCCAACACTGATGGGGGTCCACAGCGAAGGAGGTGATCAACCCTGCCAAGGAGAACAAAATAACAAGCTATATCCTCTCTGAGTGATCCCGTTTGATATTTCCCAGGTTTGCAGCATTGCTAATGTTGCTAGCATCGTGACCTTGGCATGATCCCTGGCTATCCGGAAAACAGGTTTATGGCTTCGGACTAGTGCCTCTTGAACAAGGACATTGACTGGGGAACCACCAACACAGGGCTGGATAGCTCAGTTGGTAGAGCAGCGGAACGGCAATCTGGAGATCACAGGTTCAGACCCTGCTTCAGTCAAATTTCTTTGATCAACTTTGATTAAAAAAAAACCGGAAAAAAGATAATTGAAAAAATACCCATCAAATTAACTAAATCACAAGTAAATGTTTGTAAATTCATAAAGCAAATCACAAGTCCAATCACACATCATAAGACTGTCTATTTTCAGATTTGTGTTCAGTCAAATCATAAGCCCAGTCGCAAGTAACAAGGGATAGACTTGTGATGACTTGTGATAACTTGTGACGACTTGTGATGGACTTGTGATGGATTTGTGGTGACTTGTGATTGACTTGTGATAACTTGTGATGGCTTGTGGTGACTTGTGATTGACTTGTGATAACTTGTGATGGCTTGTGAGGACTTGTGATTGACTTGTGATAACTTTTGATGGGCTAGACTACGACACTTGTTGCTTACCGTGTTTTGATTGGTTGCGGAGCCTCCATGCTATCCCTGGTGCCCTGAGATCCCAACCCACTAAGTAACCCTGGACTGTCGCGTAGGTTACCACTGACTGCGATCCTGAAGAAAAAAAATCAAACCCCCAAAAGCTGTTAAAATGATGAAGACTGATCAAGAATGAACCGACATTATATTACAGAAGATGCGCAAAATGATGTTCAGCAAAATTAATATGACATACTAGCTGGTTAACTAATTTTGATAAGCAAGGTCCTTCTGTGCTTAGCACGGTTCTACTGAGCTAGACGCTTACCTGTATCAAAGTGGGTGATGTCGACAGCAAATCCTTCCTCATGGATGTCCAGGTTAGTCTTGTGTAGCAGGCTGAATCGCGGTGCGCCGGCCTCAATCCTGACAAAGAACAATTCCAAAGTAAGTTTAGATATTGGGTCCACCAAAGTGGTAAAGTATAATGCTTCAAACTTTATTCTGTGTTGAATCAGAGATAAACTCCTATGTTGAAATATTTGCAATTTCAATCAATATGGAGTGGATTCACTTCCGTAAAATTAGAAACATCACAACAACGGGGTAACTTTGAGAATGGAGCCAATATTTTGACGTAATGAAACTTCAAATTTTTCAGTTTTCAATTTTTGTTTATTTCTTGTAAGGCAGCTTCAAAAATATTGAAGATAAACTTTGAAAGAAAAGTACCTGGACAGAAGACAACAAAAATACTTAACAGACGACGATAAATTTTCAAAGAATTGAACGAATTAATTATCTTGTCAACATGGCAACAACAAAAATACTTAATAGACGACGATAAATTTTCAAAGAATTGAACGAATTAATTATCTTGTCAACATGGCAACCAAAAAAAAAAGTTCCTCGAACAGCAGAAACCAGTTTTGCAATTGAAAAGTGTCACTGATGTGGTACTACAAAAATGAAACTGGCACAAAATCATTTTAAGGAAAACTGTGCCGAAACTTAGAAGCTTTTATTCAGAGATCTATGAGTCACCTATTGACATGTATGGAGCCATCGTCTGATGCCGAAGCGATGCTATGCGATGACTGGCAGAACGTCAGTGCTTTTATTCGTCCAGGTTGGCGGTTATAGGTCTGGCGAGACCGATTGGTGTTACTCTTGCCGAGGAGTCGCGACGTGTCCCAAACTTTGACTGTGCCGTCGCTGGAGCATGTGGCGAAGAACATGTGATCGTGGCTCAACTGAATCCTAAACAAGGGGAAAAACATGGGAAGACAGTCTGAGAGAATGATTCTACTAGGACGTTCGGCCGTGTCTAAATCTGCTGGGTAATAGAGGTATCATTACAACATCTGTGCTGATGGCCCCGTTCTTGACCGAGTGGTTCTTCGTTGAACACGATCTGTTACGAGTCCCTTTGTGGATGCTTTCAGATTGTAATTTGAGGAGCTCATCGTCCTCGAAGCAGATGCTGAATTTCGAAGGATGCATTATTACAAATAAACTTTACATGGTGGAAATAAACTAACTACCAAACTGGACTTCTGGAGTCGAAATATTTTTTTAAAATTATGTGTGGTTTTGAGAACCAAAACTTTGACAGTTTGAGTAAAGTCCCGTAGACTTTAATCACAAACCTGTTGACGGCCGCCTTATGTTCGTGCAAGTGGGCCACCAGAAGACCCTTAGGTTTCCATGACGATGGTGGAATCTTGGTCTCAATGGCTGCTTCTTCTATGAGTGTCTTGCGCGTCACGTCAGCCACGTACTGCTCTCGCTTCTGTTGAACAAGGCGACTCAGTTCCAGCTTACAAGTTGCGACAAGAGCTGAAGAAAAAAAGGAAAACATTCTAAATTTTCTAAATGTCTGGACTTGTGATTTGTTGTGTCTGGACTTGCGATTTCTTGTGTCTGCACTTTGATTTTTAATGACTGGACTTGTGATGGACTTGTGAAAAACATTGTTTGAATGCACAAATTCTTGAAGTTTAGAATTGAAAATCTTTACTTTGGATTGGCGGTAGCCTGTTCTCTTGGACCGGAGCCAACGGTTTCTTCTCCGGAATACCGTCAGCAGCTGCCTGGAGTTGAGACATTGAGATGGGGCCCAGAGTGGATAGACCCGTGGGCTGGGACTTGCCGCCTTGCTGGCTGGTCGGTCCTGGGCTCTTGGGGCCAGCGTTGAGGGTAGCCATGGCGTCTTGGGCAGGGTGGACAGGGCTGGTGGGCTGCTGGGGTGCCTTCGAGGTCCTAGCTGGCTCGCTCGTGCCAAACATGCTCTTCCATTCCTCGTTCTGGAAGGACAGAGAAAACGACTTCACGGCTAAGACAGCAGAAAGTTGATCATAATGTGGGTCATTATTTGGAGTCTGCTTTTTTCTGTGTCCATGTTACATCAGACATTATGATTTATCATAATGATGCACTCCTTAATGCAGTCGTCCTGGAAGAGTGATACGAATAGCAAACTACCTACCCAACAAATAAAAAAAAAAATTTAAAGTCGTTCTTAATGATATTTGAATGGCAAATTACAAAATACCAAGGTAACAGGGACAGGAAAAAGTCACACTTCGGACCTTAAATTTATAGAATGACCAATGTGCAGAATTCTGATTAAATTCTGTGTATTTTCTACTTTTAGTTTTGATATTTCAAGTACTATTGACATTTATTGTGTTTAAATTAATTTTTAATATGTAATTTTCAATTTTGCCAATTGGGCCCTATTTAACAGAACGTAGTATAGATCAAGGAGGGTAGTTTTACAAGGATGTTCTAAATTCACTAAAGTAATAACTTGTCAAAAAATCTTCAACTGACCATCATGGCAGGCTCAATATTGCTGGATCTTTTCTTCAACTTTCTAGGAGCTTTCTCTGAGGCGTCCGACCGTAGCTCCGGGGGTTTGATCAGATCGGCGTGGTATTTCTGGACAGGCGATTCCTTCTCCAGCGCCAGAATGTTGATGATACCTGGGATGTTGGGGTTGTCCGGTCCGGGGGAGGGCGGGGGTTGATCATTGGGACTGAAATCATCAGAAGAGGAAGCCAGGTCAAAATAACTAGAAGTTTGTCGGATTTTGTTTTGAAATCTTCCCAAGTGACCTGCTGCTGTATCAGATTTAAACTTGCTAGCCGACCACGGCAAGTTTGGCGGTACCTAACCTAGTAAGCTAAGAAAGAGGAATCTGTCGGTTGGGGAGTGAGCAAATGTTACGGATTACAGAAACAAAAATTAGTGAATTAAACAAGTTTTTTTTAAATATATTTTCTTTCAACCTACTTTGACTTGGCTTGTTGTTGTTTCATCATGATGTCCTTGAGTAATAACAGCTTGTCCTCATCAGGTTCTGTCATTCCTTGAGATTGGAGTTTTCTGAGGAGCTGCAGAGGTGGAAAATATTAATGAGGTTTGAGGTGTTGATGTTTGAGGATTTGAGGTTGTGGACTTAAGGTTTGAGGACTTTAGATTTGAGGACTTTGATATTTTAAAAACTGAGGTTGTTGGACCTTAGATTTTAGTACTTGAGGTTTGGGAATTTGAGGTTTGAGGACTTGAGGTTTGAGGACGTGAGGTTTGAGGAATGGAGATTTGAGAAATAAAGGTTTGAAGAAGAGGCGATTGAGGACTTGAGGTTTGATGACTACAGTCTGAGGACATGGAGTTTCAAGACTAGGGGTTAGAGGACTTGATGTTTGAAAACTTTTGAGAGTGGAGGTTTAAGTACTGGATGTTTCAAACATGACATTAGAGGACTTGAGGATTGAGAACAGAAAGTTTCAGGACTTAAGGTTTGAGTACTAGAGATCTGAGGACTAAATATCTGAGGGCTTGAGGTTTGGTGGCTGGAGGTTTGAGGACTTAAGGTTTCAGGACTTGAGGTTGGATGTTTTAAAGTTTGAGGACATGAGGTGTTCGAGACTGGAGAATTGAGGACACAAAACAGAATCGCACAAGCAGACCTGTGCCAGGCCGGGGCTGTCCGGCTGACTGTAGCTGGGCTTGTGACCAGGACGACAGAGATTCCTCAACAGCTGACGATCCTGCAGGTTGTCAAACAAGCTCTCGATCAGCGAGGATCTCAGGATGTAATCGTAGACAGGGCGGGGAACCGGAGGCTTCAGAACGTTCAGCAGGATTGGCTGAAAATGCAAAAAGTAAGGAAAACATCGGCTCAATTTCAAGATCAACCACAAGTCAACCAATGATTCGGAAATAAACTTGCTCCAATATGAATGGCTAATTGTACCTCCTTATCCACTTGTATGATCGGCTGCTTGATAAACGGTTGCAGAAGTGGGATCAGGTTGCAATGCACGTCGGCGATGTTGAAGTTGCCTGCGATGACGGCGATGACACCGGCTGTGCCTTGTCTAATCCACAGATTCTAAGAATCAGATCAATACAAAGACATAAATCATTTTCCTTATCTATACCTATTTTTATGAATCGGGTACAATCTCTGAGATCAGGGTATTCTGACTAGGACTTACCGGATGGCAGAGGTTGGGTACTATCTCTGAGGCTAGGTCTAAGATTATCGGTTTCTGTAGCAGACCCAACTCTATCAGACTTGTCAGGGCAGTCAAGGCTTTACAGATGACAAACTCTTCTGAGTCACACAAGCCCTGTGCAAATCAACAAACACAAATGGAATTTAACTGACAGATTAAATACAACGAACATTTTAAATACATGGTTTGATCTTCCCTGGTGATGTTCAGGATGGATGTACAGGGAGTAACAGGAAGGGCTGTTTTGGGGCAGTACAGGGAATAACAGGCAGGGGTGTTTGGGGCGGTACAGGGAGTAACAGGCAGGGGTGTTTGGGGCAGTACAGGGAGTAACAGGCAGGGTGGTTTGGGGCAGTACAGGGAGTAAGAGGCAGGGGTGTTTGGGGCAGTACAGGGAGCAACAGGCAGGGTGGTTTGGGGCAGTACAGGGAGTAACAGGCAGGGCGGTTTGGGGCAGTACAGGGAGTAACAGGCAGGGTGGTTTGGGGCAGTACATGGAGTAACAGGCAGGGCAGTTTGGGGCAGTACAGGGAGTAACAGGCAGGGTGGTTTGGGGCAGTACATGGAGTAACAGGCAGGGCAGTTTGGGGCAGTACAGGGAGTAACAGGCAGGGTGGGTTGGGGCAGTTCAAGAACTTAAGCATTTGAAAATAATCTGTAAGACTTGTACCTGTTGGATAAGAGGTTTGAGAATGAAGGAGCTCTGCCAACCGACATAAGCTGCGACTCCAACGATACTGTCGAAGAAGGATCCACGAAGATGCCAGTCATTCTTGAGACAAAAAGACAGAATTCTGATCGTCAGCAATTGTTTAGATAATTGGAGCATTTATGTTCCTTTAAGAATGCTGCTTTTGGATCACAGAAAATGAAACGCAGTTGCTAGATTTGATACCTTATCATTGAGGAAGGTGATCATATGAGACAGCAGGACGTCGTTAGCCTTCTGTCGACCGAAGAACACACACAGCCTTGTGATGCCGTTCTCCAAGAGAGTCTGCTTGACAATGTTCTCCTGTTTGACGAATGTACACAAAATATGCTAGCTCAAAGAACTCCATTACAAAAAGAAAAAGAAAATGACCTTAGCACAAATTGAACCAGTAACATTTGGGTTATCATAATACTACTCTATAAACTGAACCATCTGTCTAGACCTTTAGGATTAGAGCCTGCATCATTTAGAAATCACACTGTTGCTCTACCAACCAAACGATTATTTCAAGACTGTTCTGAATTTTACCGTGTCGCTGAGCAGGGTGACGACTTTCTGCTGGATCATGCCGTGTAGATTCTGTAGTTCGTCATCATAACTGGCCTGAAATAAATGAAAAAGTGCCCAAATTACAGTTCGAACTTGTGAAGATTTTTGATGCCGAGGCATGTAGCCAGGATTTTGGACCCCTATTTGAAAGTTTCAAGAAGATTCCTACCAAATCGGACAAAAAAATACACTGCATCTGAATGACATACTTGTATATTGTTCCAGGACTTTCAAGTCCTGGAAGAGAGAAAAAAGAAGTGTTTAGCTCTTTTAGAACTGGGAACAAAATAACTGCATATTGGAAATGTTTTTCAACAATTCTAAAAAAATTCATTCCGACTTCCTGACCATATCTAGTTTTTAGACTACATCTGTATACAAAGCATAAGAAATGTCATCACATTTAGTGACACAGACTCTGAGCAGACAATTACGTTTCGTGCTGTTTGTTGTACCTGATATTGGACGTTAGGGTCTGGCACAGAGTCGGCCTGCGCATCTTGCGTTGATGTGTGGTCTAGCTGGACCATCTCCAGAAATCGCAGTGCTGTCTCTGCCAAGACGGCAATGTTCTCTGCGTAGGCTACGCGGACTAGGACGATGTCATCCTGTGGTAGGTTTGCCTGGAACAAAATGAAAACACAAACAAACTTCATTGATAATCCACAGTTTTCTTGAAAATCACAAGCCATTTCAGGTAGCTTTACACTCTTGTAAATGAATCTGCCAAATTAGAAGTGACAATACTCACCAAGTTCGGAAGAATATACTCTGGAAAAATATTGGCATCGCTGCAAAAAATACAAAATATCCTTTTATTACAATTTCAAACACTAATTTTTCCACAAATTTTTTTCCAACATAATTTTATTTTTTACCAATTGTGAAAATTAAAGTGACCGAAAGATTTTCAAATTTGTGAAAAGATCCAAAGTTACTTAGGATTACCCCCAAAAATCAGCATTAAATGCAACGATTAGTTTGGAATACTACTTATCTTCTGGGTCACCTAAATGCAGAACATATTTAGCATAACAGATTGTCTGCAATCCTGCTTACCTTCTGGGTACTGAGTTGACGATGGTTAGTGTTTGGCTTAGAGTTCGGATGGCCTCTGCTCTCACTCTGGGGAAGGGATCGCTAATAAAATGAACCTAGGATGGAAAAAACAACATCTTGAGTCGCTCCATTAAGCCAAGATGGTAACATACAGTGTAATCTCGATAAGTCAAACTCTGATAACTCAAAAAACTGTTAAGTCAAACAAAAACTCCATTGCCTTCAGCAGTATAACAATGATATACAACCCTGCTTAACTCAAAACTCTGCTTAAGTCAAATTTTGAACCTTCCCCTTGATGTTTGACTTATACAGATTTCTCTTTTTGTACATTTTTAGAGTGAATTTCCCAGGGTTACAAAAAAATTTCATAATTAATCCACAGTTGTAGATGGTATGAGTCTCATTTTAATTTCTTTCAAACTGTTCTTTAACTATTTCAAGACGAATACCTTGCAGTGACGTACTGTTTTTCAAGAGAATATCTAAAATTACATACAATTACAAACAATAAAACAAGCCTTTGCAACATCAAAAGGAACATATAAAAAATTCTTAGAATGGCTTAAAACAGAACAAAACTGCCGGCTTGATAATTTGGGCCGAGTTCATGCAAATAAGCTTGTAGATTTGTAAAGAATGAAGATCATCTCACCATGTGTGGAATGATTCGGTCCAGTATGAGATCGTCAGGGATATGATGAGCAATCATCAGTAGGATCTCCAACGCAGCTAACTTGGAGATGCAAAACTAAGAAACACAGGAAAAAATCAAGAAATACTTTGAATTCTACTGCCAATTAAACAGCCATGCAGCAACTGTAGTGTACTGAGTAGTGTGGTAGAGTAATGTTTAACCCTAACTCCCTAGGTATTTTTGCTAGGAAGCAACCTCCATCCAGCAAAATCCTCCAACTGCCTCCATGTAAAAATAGCATAAATTCCTGCAAAATCCTCCGTTATTTCTTGAAAGTTGTCCTTGGATAGCTGACCACTGCCTCAATCCTGTAAAATCCTCCAGCAATCACTGTCAGTATGTTGGGGCAGAGCCAGTGACATTCTGGAGCAGTGAGGAGGATTTCAAGTATAATATAGGCCTAAATTTATGCACGGCTGAGCATAAGCAACACAAGGTCCGGCCCAAGACCTTGACACAGTGCATACTCCAAAATCAGCAACACAATTTTGCCATGTAGCCTCAATCCTGCAAAATCCTCCATTTTGCAAAGAGGATTTGGGAAGATTAGGGTTAACACAAAACTTAAAAACATGATGGCACATTTACCTTGAGCGTTCTGAGGCAGGAGGTGACAAGAGACAAGACGATAATCAGCCCGTTGTTGTTGTCTTTGCATCCGTCTTGCTTCTCATCAGAAGAAGAGAGTGTCTCAATGATCTTACCCATGTCTCTCTTAAGCCTGGAGAAAAAAAAGAATATGACAAGACAATGTCGGACTTTTCTTAATGAACTGGGCCTCAAGGAAGAAGCATCATTACATGTAGATGGTTTAGGCAAAAGCCTGCAATTCTGAAATATGCCAGTGAATTTGAGCCACAACTAGGGCCAAAAATGGCTCCGAGGTCCGGCTTTTACCTTGCGATTTTCTCGTCTGATGGAAGGATGGGGATACCAGCGAAATCTCCCAGGAAGACCTTGAGATAGCTGTAGAACACATCGGGGAAAGCCTTGGTCTTCCACTGCTTCAAATACTCCTCTGCAGATAAGCGCTTGGATGGATCCTTTTGTAGCATGTGTTCTACAAGAGCCTGAAAAAAAGCACCAAAAAGTTGATTCGCTCCTTCAATTTGTCATATATTTTACATACAGATAAATTTCCTTCAACAAACTTAATTTGTCTCTTTATGAAAACAGTGACGACTTCCTTTTCAGTCTCATACCTTAATGCTGGGGTCCTCTATTTTATTCAAGACGGTGTCTGGACTGTAAGTTCCGTTGCAGTAGGCAAGAAGTTGCGACAGGTCGAAGGGGGCGTGGCCTTCCGTGAACAGCTCGGCAATCACGCAGCTGTCAAAAGAAAAAAAAGCTGATGTGATATAAGACAAGATAGAACAAGGTTTCCCTAAAAGTTCACAGGTAATGTGTCTTGGAAGCTTGAAGAAACCTAGGGACAAGACGATGAAGAATGGTCCAATTTTATAGGCGGGAGAAAAACACTGAAACATATTCACGGAAAATTTTCTGATTCAGGCAGGGACTGAAAAGCCAATCCACGTGTGGACCTGAGAGGGAATTGAACCAAGGCCACAGAGGTGGAAGCATGAGGAAAGGACCACTGTCTATTAATATTAAGACTTCTAAAGTTTGGTGGGAATTTGTGGATTCAGTATGCAAATACTTCACAGAAAGTGTAGAACAGGTACGCGTAGGTTCAAATCCAATCCAATGATTGCTTTGTGTCCTTGGGCATGACACTTTGCCACAACTGCATCACCCTATCTAACTGCAAATCGGGTACTACGCAAATTGGATTGCGTCGATATGCTCCTGAGCAAAAACTCAGTGATACACAGTAAACTCTGCCAACGATCATTGGCCAGCTTGTCAGGGGTAATAATAACGTTACCCTCACATCCAAATTAAAATTCATTGAGATTTTTCTTACCCAGTTGAGAATATGTCCATTTGCGGAGTGAGTTCTCCTCTCTTCAAAGACCCAGCATCCAGAAGCGAGGTGTCCGACGATTCAACGGTCTCCGACTGACGCATGCTGCCCTCTATGAAGCGTTCTGGGGCAATGTAGCAGGTGCGACGCCGGGAGGTGTCAAAGAAGAACGAAAAATCAGCCGGATTGTCCTGGGAAAATGTCAAACGGCCAAAAAAATGAATCATTAACAATTTTAAACATTGGGTAACCTATTAGAAAATCCATCCCCAAGACAATTCCATCAATGATAATCAGGGTAAGCCTCGTCCGACTTACGTGGCTACGGCTTGAAATTACACACGGGTCTATGGGAAGTGGCTGCAGCCGCTACCATAGGGGCGTGTGTAATTTCTAGCCGTAGCCATGTAATTCAGACATGGCTTTATACTCACGGCTGGCAAGAAGGTGGGCTTGAAGCTGGCAAAGTCTGTCAGTAGAACCCAATTCCAGCCGGTAACCATCACGTTTTCGCTCTTAATGTCACCATGACACACCTGCAAGGAAAGGAATTGAGATGGACTTGTGATTGACTTGTGATCGGCTTGTGATGGACTAGTGATGGACTTATGATCGACTTGGGATTGACTTGTGATGACTTGTGATTTGCTTGTGATTTACTTGTGATGGACTTGTGATGTACTTGTGATGGACTTGTGATGTACTTGTGATGGACTTGTGATTGACTTGTGATTGACTTGCGATCGACTTGTGATTGACTTGTGACTGACTTGCGATTGATTTGTGATGACTTGTGATCAACTTGTGATTTACTTGTGATGGACTTGTGATGGACTTGTGATTATCTTGTGATTTACTTGTGATTATCTTGTGATTTACTTGTGATGGACTTGTGATGTATTTGTGATGGGCTTATGATTTACTTGTGATGGACTTGTGACAGACTTGTGATTTACTTGTGATTGTCTTGTGATTTAATTGTGATGGACTCCACTTGTAGTTGGTCAGTCCATCACAAGTAAACCACCGGTAAATCACAAGTCCATCACAAATCAATCACAAGTCATTTACAGAAGCAAAGAATTATATTCTTAAAGATTCTCTCAAACAAAACTACAAGACAGATCCCTGAATTTTCATGAAGACCTCTGGGGTTTACTTGCCTTGACGCGATGGGCCTGGTTGATAGCACACAGCAACTGGAACGCTATCCATTTCTTCTCGACGGTGTTGAGAAACGGACGGGTGCTGATGCGATCGTAGAGATTGTTGCGGATGTACTGCCGGAACAGCAAGGCTGCTTTGTCCGATAACTGTGAAAATAAAGACCAATCACAATGAATATGTGGCTGGATCAAGCAAAACAAGTCTTTTTTCACTGAGCCATTTTATTTTGGTCTTCATTTGGACATCTTCACTCAGTACGACGAAGGTGCTGTTGGGTTCCAGGAGAGTGCAGAATTTTTTATTACAAATTCAGGACCATCCTAGGAAAAATCTCCAGGGAATGAGGTGAAATCTGACAGGTTTACCGTGCTCCTGAGGAAGGGAAGACAGTTGGAGGAACTACTCAGCCTATTCTTGATCTCCTCCAGCTTATCCTTGTAATATTTCAGGGGCAGCGACGGATCGTGGATGGCGAACACCTTGACGACAGCAAGACCCTCTCTGTTAAAAGTAGAGAAAATATAACGATTGTGAGGTAAAGGAACCATAACAGCTGCCAAAGTGTCAGAATACTTCGGGCATTTTGAGGAATTTTGATTCCGAGAAACCTACTTGTACTTCGCCCGTGCGACTTTGAAGAATCGGGTGCTTCCGAGGCTGGTATCAAATTCATAGTCTGTGACGTCCGTCAGGTAATGCTCCACAGGAAAGATCTGTGAGGGCGCTATACCAGTCAGCTGATTTCCCATGATGCATTTCCGACTGATAAAACTAAAAGACCAACTGGAAATATAAAAATATAAGAACATCGTGATATAGGCCTACATTTTACAGTTTTTTTTCCCCAACACCGTTTTTAGGACTATGTGGTAAATAAAATCAACAATTTATACCTGAATATTTGAAGTTTTGAAATGTGAGATAGGCCTACTATAAAAGTGATAAAAGCCTAAGGCAAAGGGAGAAAGTACATGTACTAGGTTTTTGTGTGTGAATTTTTAGGCCTTGGCACTGGGCGTACTGGTCACTGGAAGATTGGGAAAGATTTCCATATACGAAGTTCACTCAACACCCTGTGTACAAACCCTATGAGATTGGACTGAAAAATTCTAAGTGTTTTCTAAGAAGATGCTTGTATTTTCTCACTGCTCAAATTGACTTTGATGACATGAAATTGCTATCTGGGGGCTTATTAGTCAATACAGAGGAAAATTAGTGAACTTCGTATATGGAAATCTTTCCGGAAGATTGTTATTTGTTTAGTACTAGGCCTACTTAATATGGGACCCCTAATAATATTATAAACATTCATTATTTGGAAAGAATGTTGCAACCTGACGCTACTTCAGCGGTTGTGTACAAAGTCTATGGAGAGTCAAGAAAGATTTCCAAGTATTTCCCAACCGAATTGGAAATGTTTCTCAATCCCAGATTCATGTTTTATCATAATTTTTGCAATGAATGACCTTCATTGAGATAATATATGAAGAAAAAGTGGCGTCAGGCTGCAACGTTTTTTTCCAGGACCCCTAAAAATAATAATTGTATTCATCGTTTAATTTCTTTGCAAGACAAAAACAAGAGAAACAAAAAGATAAACAATGAATGAATGATCACGATGTCTTCCGAGTTCTGGTTCTGCAGTTCCTGGGCTAATCAAAATCAGTGGCGCCTCAATTTCTTAGGTTTCAATATTGTAAACTCAGGGATATATCAATCAAAAGATCACACAAGACTAACGACTACAAGAGGTAAAAACAAGCCCCGTTTTTTTACAGATTCGTTTACCTTCTGAAGTTCTGTTCTGATTTTACGCAGAACCAAACATGCACAAAACAAACGGGTCAGATTCCCTGTTCATCGACTACGAGTACTGAGTTCATCGTTGAGGGATCTGCCTACAAGATGACAGTGCTAGCGCCCTCCGTTGTCAAGCTATGCCCAATCAAGACTTTCGCATTCCTCCCCACTTCGCTCGTACCCCCCGCCCCCCCCCACCCTTTCGCTCGTACCCCCGCCCTCATGGGCGTCGCGGGGGGGGGGGGGGCAAGGGGGGCGCTTGCCCCCCCCCCCCCCGGAAAAGAAAAAAAAGGAAGAAAAAAAAAAGAGAAAAAAAGAAAAGAAAAAGAGGCGCGAAGTCATAGTGGTGTCAATTTAATGAGTTGGAGGGGGGCAAAATGTCCCTGCCCCCGTGTAAAACTGAGAAATCGATAATTTGTTCAGAAATACAAAAATTTTTTGGGAAAAATATGTTTTGCCCCCCTCTAGAAAAAATCCTGGCGACGCCAATGCCCGCCCTGGTGGTCTCGATAATTATCCACCACCAAACTCGTTTGGGGGGCAGCAACTCCAGAAACACAAGATGTTTTAAATTGAATTTTCGTCTAGTCTTTTGTCATTATGTCTTACATTACAAAATTAAATTTCATAAAAAAAACGGTCAAACAATGAAGCAATATTGACCGTAACAATACAGTGTTTTAAGCGCGACAAATGCAATCCGAATGAAAATCACTGTGTATTTTTCGCGTGTAAAACACTACATTGTTACGATCATATTATTTTTATTACGGGTCGGTTTCTCATGATATTCGATACACCTCTGTTACACATTGTGGAAAATACTTGCACAAAATTTCAGGTTAATACATATTTTATTTCTTGAGTTATAAATCGGAAACTGAGTGGTTATTTTTGTTCAATAGTGCAGCATCCGCACCAATATTCTTTCAATAGAGGGCGCGCCACATAAATAGTGGTCTCGATAATTATCCACCACCAAACTCGTTTGGGGGACAACAACTCCAGAAATACAAGATGTTTTAAACTGAATTTTCGTCTAGTGATTTGTCATTATGTTTTACATTACGAGATTTAATTTCACAAGAAACCGTCAAACAATGAAGCAATATTGACCGTAACAATACAGTGTTTTAAGCACGACAAATACAATCCCAATGAAAAGCAATGTGTATTTTTCGCGTGCAAAACACTACATTGTTACGATCATAATATTTTTATTACGGCACTGTTTCTCATGATATTCAATACACCTCTGTTACACATCGTGGAAAATAATTGCACGAAATTTCAGTTTAATACATCTTGTACTTCTTGAGCTATTGATCGGAAACTGAGTTGTTATTTTTGTTCAATAGTGCAGCATCGCCACCAATTTTCTTTCCATAGAGGGCGCACCACATAAATAGTGGTCTCGATAATAAAATTATCCACCACCAAACTCGTTTGGGGGACAACAACTCGAGAAATACAAGATGTTTTAAATTGAATTTTCGTCTAGTGATTTGTCATCATGTTTAAACATTACGAGATGTAATTTCATAAGAAACCGTCAAACAATGCAGCAATATTGACCATAACAACACAGTGTTTTAAGCGCGACAAAAGGAATCTGAATGAAAATCAATGTGTATTTTTCGCGTGTAAAACGCGTAGTGTGCAGGCAGTTTACACGCAAAAGAATGATATAGTACACTTCTTGAAAACGCGTTTTCCGGTTTTGACCCATTAAGTTATAAACTTTAATTAATGTTAATTAATATTTTGACAAAACTCATTAACTCTGTGTAGAATAATTTCTTGAGGTGATAGATTATGTGTAATTGATCACAATTATGGGGGAAAAAATCGAAATCGCAAAATATCGATTTGTCGATTTTAGTGTCACTTCGTAGTGACGGTGACGAATATGCGCGCACTGTCTAACTGCGGCCGGTCTTAAACAGTTGCAGCCAGATGCTTTAATATAGGGCCTACATAGGTTGTAGGCCACTTCCTTCACAAGATTCTGTGAAGCTCATCAGCGTATCCCAGCGTCCTGTTTGCAGGGCGGGGGGTACGAGTCAATACTCCCCACATCCCCTAGTCTATGTAGTAGACCACGGCGAATAAGTCTTGCTCCGTGGATAACGGGTTATACTCAGACTACCCATCCCCCAGCACCCGATTTTTTTCCAGAAGTGAAATTTAAGATTACTTCAAGTTAAGCGACGAGGACGGGGGGGGGGGGGGGGGGGGGCCTGCTGGCTTCAAGGGCTAGTTTAATTTTGTCACCAAATCAAATCTTCTTTCTCTGTGCTCTGTCATTTATTTCGATCGATGAAGAAATTCAATTTCCTGTTGAAACCCTCGCGTTTAGTGAAGGTCGGCCTCATGCACACAATTCAGAACATGGTTGATTTACACATCAGATGATTGCAACGGGGGCCTAATGCGTTTCCTCGACGAAAACAATCAACAACATTAAAATAAAATCCATTGAAACATAATCACAAGACGACTGCACATCAATCGATTAAAAAACGGCAAAGCACATTGCAAAGTCTTGTGCCTTGTGCATGTGTTGCTGCAATACACAATTCCTTGTAGCGAATCTACGGTGGAACTAGACTGGGGGTTGAACCCCCTCCCCTCCCCCCCCCTCCCCTCCGTTCAGCCGCTGATTATGGAATACCGGTATTAAAGTTCCTATATTTATTCTCTAACTACTTTAGTATGCAGGAGAAAGCATCGTAGATTTCAACATTTTTCCGGGGCCACCGTGACAACCCAGTTGCAGCCGAGGGCGTGCCTTCGACACGCCTTAGACCCCCCCCCCTCCTGAAAGCTAGATCCGATCCGTCCCTTAATTCAATCTGTTTTTTCCTTTCTTTTGGCGCATGCTGTTCACGATTATAATTTATGTGCTCTGTCGTGACTCGTCCAGCCAATGCAAAATTAAACTGATTATCGGCCGCCATGTATACGCTCAAACATTAAAACTCTTGTCACTGGAAAACCATGCATGTCGCATGTGGAGTAGAAAACAAACATTCGTAGTCCACGAACCTAATAACCGATGTCGCCAGGCACTGCATGCTCCACATAAGGACGTCTAATTAATGTTCTAGACACGACATTTTAAAGGAAGGTTTTCCCCGGCGATTCTTTCGAAATTGGATTTACGGTCAATGACATACAAGCAATCCCGCGAGCACAGTGACTGTATTCAGATCATTGCTCAATTTCATGTCTTGACTTTCCAGAAGTTGTTTTTTAGTCCGATGCCTGTCGCAGCTATTTTCTAATTAATTCGGCCTCCCCCCGAACGTTTGAAACTTTGTTCAAACTTGCTCAAACACATTTTGAGGGGATAGGTCTCATTTAAGTTAAGCTAAGTTGGACCACCTTTTTTATTAGGCCTAATTTCTGACACCAGAGGGCGCTGTTGCTATGACGTATTTTTACGCGCTCACCATAAGGAAGTCAGAAAAATGGAAAGAGAACATTTCTCGTTTGCTCTTGTCAGGCCACAGAAGCATTAAAAAGCAATAATAAATAAAAAAGGGGAAAAATATAGAGTCGAACCGATCTTTGTAAAAACAACTTGCTTAGGCCCCAAAAGTGGTGCGGCGACGCGGCTTTTTTTTTTTTTTTACCTGTTTTTTTTTTTTTTTGGGCTTCAAATGTCGGCTGATGACTGCAAATGGTGCCCGACTAAACTTAGTGCAAATATATTGGAGTCCAGAGAGGCCACATAAAGCTTATTCTCGATCATAACCCCATCTAAAAACACGTTAAAATTGTGCAGCAGCAGGATTCCAGTCAAACCAGTGAGTTTGGCGGTTTTGAGACATCATCTTGTATTGAAAAAAAAACTTTTTCATTTTGCCGACGCGCATGGCTACGGCGACGCGCGCACATACCAGAAACCGGAGACTTTTTTTGTTTTGGCCTTATTATGGAAATTCACAAAATCAAATAATCAACCACACTGTCGTGATCCCATGGCTTCCAAAGAATCCCCAAAGAGTGAAGCAAAAAAACCTAAAATGGAGAGTAGGCACAAGTCATTAAAGGAATTGAAAAGAGAAAAGAAAGTACCTTTAAATTCGTTTTAGTCGGCCTATGTTACCGAGCGGAAGTGACCATCGCGACGCGACAATGAAACTGAGCAGTAGTTCTCAATCGATCAAAGCCGCTACTACTCGTGCAGAACGATCGCTTCTTATGTTTGCCACAGTATCTATGTATCCGTTACGATCGGTCCATTTGCAAAAACCTATAATAGTGTATTGCAAAAACAAACATGAACTTCAAAGGCAAGAAAATACACGAAGTAGGTCGACCTGAGTGCATACTCTGCACTTAATGTTCAAGTCCCACGCGCGGGTTTGATTAGTTGAAACTGATCACGTGACGCGCTTTTTGATCTCTTAAAGGGCTCTTGTAATGTTTGTTAATGCAGTACTTGAAAATGCACCTTTGTGTCCCATTTTATCTGATTTTCAATTTTCATTTTGCCATTTTTAAGGGCATTTTTGGTGAACTGTTTGGTTTTTTTTTTTGGTTTTTTTTGTTGCTTATTTCCATATTCATGAGCAACAGTGTGATGTCTTTTCAGGCAGAAACCTCAATGTTACAGCTATTTCAGCACCAAAATTTGCCAGAATTGTAGATATTTTGCTAGCGCAAATTTTATTTTCTTTTCTTTGGGTGACTACGACAAGGTGACAAGATTCGTCGTTTCAGTATGACAGTAAGCCAATGAGCAAATTAGATTTCTCACAAATGTTTTCAACTGAGCAAATTTTGGCTTGACAATTTGAATAGAAAACCTTGAATTAAGTGAACATTGTCTTCCTGAAATAACTTCACAGCAACAGCGTCCTCATGATGTTGTCAGGGAAACCATGGCCAATTTGTAAAATGTTTAAAGACGTAGACTTTTCAATAAAATTACCCAAAAGGGGATGTCAAATAGTGTTCATACATTTAGTAAGAGAAGTACTGGAAAGTGGCCTTCAATGTCACAGTGTGTTGACCGACTAAACATGAGGGTATAGGCCTAAACTGGGCTTTTTTCCGACTGCTGTGGACTAAAC